GTCTATGAACATGTTCAATTATAGGGTATGTTCCGATATACACTGCGAGCACTGCGCAGTGGTCTTACTGCTGAAAAATCCGTTCCGTTATGGACTGCCAGTACACTGCTACAGTACCCTAGGGAAATTTATGGCGTCATAAATTGCCGCCATATTTGTACTGTGAGCACTGGAGATTTCGAGGTAAGGTGCTCGCAGTGCGTTTGATCACGTGATCAGTCGAAACAGAATCAGAAAATGATAAGTTTCTAAATAAACAAAAAAAAATACTTACGTTTATTATAAGATGGATTTAATTGATAAATAATTTTTTTATACAATTTTCCAATTTTCTTTTGAAAAGAGGGAATTTTTATATTTATATTCACCTTGCATTAACAAATTTGAAAATGGCGCCAAAAATAGGATTAACAGTATACTGGACTGCGTTCCGTTTTAAAAAGTCACCAGTATAACTAGCTATAAAGGAACGGGCTTCCAGTATACTAAATTGACGTCATACTGTTCAGTGGTCGCAGTGTATATCGGAACATACCCATAGTCTATGAATAATTGGAGAGTATCGTGTCTTCATCTTCTACTTTTTTAATTAATGGCTTAACTGCGCATTTCGCAGCCAAGGTCAAGTACATAAATAAATTTTTACATGTAAAATGAAAATGAAATGAATGAAAGATGCCGATGATACTGACATGTGCTTGCGTGTATGCTGGGGACATTTTTGACATCGACATTTTATTAGTACTGACATAACCTATTCACCCTTTTTTATTGTAATATCATTGGATATGGCATCCTGTAAAATTAATAAAGAAAAAAAATTTACATTAATTATTTTTTGCCTTTGGAAAATGAAATTACCCCATTAACATCAACAATAACGACAACTTTTCTAATGAAATCTTCTGTTTTTATCAGAATGTTGTGTTTTAGAACGCATAAATTTGATTTAAATAGAAAACTTATCACCAATTTGGATTGGTATAAATGTTATTTACTGTTAAGTTTTAAGTGTATAATGTACAACTGATATAGTTTTTTTGAGTCATGTGTATAATATTTACACTGTTTTTTCTAGTGTCTAGAATCTATATATCTCGTGGTTTGAGTTTTGAGGATAACTGTAATCAATAAATATGAATTATTATTTTTACACTTTTTCACTCTTTATCAAATATTCATCAATTAATATAATTAACCGTTTTCGAAGAAATCCCTTTGTTTTAACACTTATCCTACAATAAAAACAAACCGTCTATTTTCTTGTCCATAGACTTTTTAACAGTAAACTTTACTCTTTGATTTGTTTCTCTAATATATACTTTTACTCTTTGGATTTGTTTTTTTTTTAATTCTTATATTACTTCTTTAGAATATATAGTATAATCTGAGACTTCTTCACAGACTTAGTAGGTATCAGACGACCAACTTCCTAACAAAAAATTTCTTCGTAGAACGTGATTGGGAGCCAGTGATACATGACAGCTTCATTCGTTTTAAATATATAGATCTACTATCGGCAAAGGCATTTAGCTATACAGCCCTGTTTTGGGTAGGTACCTAGCCGTCTTCCTAGTTTCCACATTATTTTTACTTTAATTTAAATTCCTTTTTTGTTTTAATACAACAATAACAATAAAGCAGACTGATAAGTCTAGCTTATTATTATTGTTGTATTAAAACAAAAAAGGAAAAACGAACACGTAAATGAAACACACATTTTTCCAATATTATTTATTGAATAATCTTATTTTTTAACTTATTATATTTTTCACAGCTTTCTTCTGCATTCTCGGCAATTCTTAGCTACGTTTTTTTAGTGGCACAACCTTATGAAACTTTTCAAGGTAATCACATTTTTTTTAAAGAGGGCACTGATATTTGCATACCTTTTTATACACATATTTAAGTTTTTCTAAAATTTCAATTGCTTTGGCCAGAAAGAATGATGCTCTTTTCCTTTATGCTTTTTTTGTTTATCGATGCTCCATTGACACTATCAAATAATTGGTCAAAGAATGAAACAACTTCAGCTGTATTTCTTAATGTTGTGCTGACGGGCCTGCCATCCACATAAGTTGCTGCAAATTAAAATATTCATACAATAATTGTATGAAACTTGATTCAAAACTATTAACTGTTAGTAAATTTCATCTAATACTCACAGAAATTTGCAGTGTAAGACAAAGCTGCAGACATATTTTTACACAATTTTTTACCTGCAAAAAGAGATATCATATTTAAAATTATCTTCATTAGAGAATCATTATTGTAATTTAAGTGTAAACTATATTAACTACTTGTTACATAATTAAAAATACAGGTCATTGAATCAACACTTGCTCTGATAGAGAATATAGAAGCTGAATACAAATTATTTCTTTTATTTATACTAATTTAAGTTATACTAATATAATAACCAATGCATTACCTTCATCATTTTAATTTTATCAGGTATAACTCATTGGTCATTTAATTTATGACGTAGCCCAGCTTCAGTGTGTTGACAGTCTGTCTCATAGACATAAATAATATCATGCCATTTTGCAAGTTTACTATCCAATATTAAATTTTTTGTTAAAAAATTGTTCCTGATGCATTTTATCAAGTGTGTAGAATCATAATGTTCAAATCCACCCCACATATTTTAAGAATGCCAACTGAAACAAAAATTTAAGAACTTCTTAAAACATAGATAACAATATAAATAAGAACCTTCACTACTTTCATTAAATCTATTAGTTTTCTTTCATATAAATATAATTCTCTGTACCAACCTGTGATTTCAATTTAAAATTTGATCACACTAAGTGTCTTCTTTTAGATTTTTGAGTGCTGATTGGAAAGCTGAGCCTTGGTCATATATTATTGCGATGGGATTAAGGTCCAATTCAACAACTTTTTCTACTACTAACTTTAAAATATTCTTGATGTACAGTAGATGTCGCTCCTTGACAGAAATACTAACATAAAGGCTGTTGCCACTTGTAAACAGCACCAACATAAATACAAGAGTATGATCTGCAAAATCCACTTTCTTTTCTTGGTGTTCTACAAATCCATTAATGTTATCTTTAATCCTTATTACTTTTATTATACGAAAGTGCTGTTTCTAATGACATCTCATCAAATATAATGGAGCATATTTTTTTGGAGTTTCATTTGTCCACCTGAAAAAGTAAATTCAAATAGGTAGGTACATATTATTATTTGGTAGTAATACAAAAAATTATAAAAGTAGTATGAAAAACCTTATATGGAATATATTTACCTCTTACATGAAGCCTGGTTCTATGATCAATTTTCTAATCATAGTATTCAGTGTAGTTTTGGATGATAAAATAAAAAATTTTGCTTAAAAATCAATAACACTTTGGACTCTGCTTTGATATTGATAAAGCAATTATCTTTTCTTCGGTAGTGAATCACCTCTCATGTTTATTTTTAGAGCACATGCTCACTTGCATTTCAAAAACATTTTTTGCAACTGTGTTCATTTTTTGTCGGAACTTTTCAAATGATAACTTTTTACAAAACTTAAAGGTATTTAAGTATTCTTAACTTTATTATGAAAGTTCAACTACGTCTTTGGCTTGTTATATTCTTCATAAATTCTCTGGTATAAAGGTGACAATTGGCTTTATTTGGTAATAAGCCTTTTCCTTTTTGTTTGGGTACATTTCACAGGGTCTGTAACATCAAAAGTATTCAGTGAATTTCTCTATTAGAACTACTATTTGATTGAAATAAAGATACACTAAAGAAAGAGACAGGTCTTACCAGATAATTTAGTTTGTGTCATATTTTAATCTCCAGAGCAAGCAACTAATTGAGTAAACTCAGTGGCTGCAGACACGGGAGTCTCAATTTGTTCTTTTAAAATTACACCACCTATGAAATCAATATTGATTATGTGTGTAAGATTAAAAAACAGGATATAATCTTAGATGATATTAGAAATATGTTATTTATATTATCAATTTATTCTCTGATCAAAATCACTTCTAGCGTGCCCGCTAGAATTAAGTAACTTAATGTCATTTTTCTTTATGTGTGTAAGAAAGAGAGATCTACTAGACTTTTTTAAAGCAAAAATCTATATTAAAATACACCAAAACTGCAGCATGAACTTTGTTATCTAAATAAAATAAATTAAAAACAAACCTCTGTTCAGTTCCACTTTCTAATATGTGTGGTCAACATGACTTTTTCTTGCATAGCTGTGTTCCCAAGTGAATATAATTTCTGTAATAAAAAAAAATCTAATGAAGAATAGCGGTATTCCAAAACACAACATAAAGTGAAGATACATATCATTTTAATTACATTATCTAAAGGTAATAGCAGATTAAACCAGCCTTACCAGTATTGCTTGAAGAGGGTAGGCTGATTGAGAGCCCATCATCAATAAACAATGACGGATATGCATCACCCAAGAGTCATGATTTTGGAGTGATGAATCTTGGTACAACGTGTTTGCTACAAATGACACTTCTGCCTGGATTAAAATTTTCAGTACCACACACAGCACTAAGACATTGTAACCACTTGGAGAATCTTTTCTCGTTCACTAGAATCTTATAAAGAATAGCGTCCTGTTCGTACTTTAACAATGCGTGTAACACAACCATAACACAACACACCAATTTCTTAGGCATCTTCTACAAATAAAAATACTTCGAAAAATGGAGAGTTTATATTACAAATAAAGCGAAGACGGTAAGCACAAAAGAAACTTTACTCAATCACTTGTAATTCCCTGATATGTAGGTACATACTTTAGTCTTCTTCTTCTTTTATTAATGGCATATCTGCGCATTTCACACAATTTTGCCAATGTGAAATGAATAAATTAATTCCAACATGTAAAATGAATTAAAGATTGATTAAAACATTACTATCTTTACTCTTTGTTGTAATGACAGTTTCTGTCAGGTGTCATGTCTCCATCTACTGACAGGGGTGAGGGGCGTGAGGAAATGTCATACATCACTGGACCCCTACGCGATTGGTTTATTGTACGGAGTTGACGGGCCGTGGACTTCTTTTATATGAGTAAAACTCATTAAAACACGTGAATTTTTATAAAGTGTATGTGTGTTTGTATTGAACTTTATTGTTTTGTGTCATTTAACTTTAAACGAAAATTATATATTTCATACGACACTGAAAGTAAGTATTTTTTAGTACAGGCCCGCATCTAGAAGGGAGGGGTTGGGGGAGGGGGGCGACACAAATAAGTTACTTTTTGGCAAAGTATTGGATGTTAAAGTTTTACTAAACTAACTTTAAATTTAACACAATAGGAGACTTTTGTAATGTTCATTATTATTGAGCTAAATATTACGTATATTCGGGCTTTGGATTAAGTACTCGATAAAATTTCGACTTATTTTTTTTAATGACTACATACATTTAAACTGATTTACAAACGAACATAATGAATAAAAATATTTTTGGTACTGAACAATTGTTAGGCCATTAATTCAATGCATATTATTATAACAATGTATTACAAAAAGCTTTATTTAAGTTTATATTCTATGTTTTCTTAGATTTGGTTTTGACATTTTCGTTTTCTTTTTGATGTTTTTCATAAATTGACTTGAGTCTTCTGAATCTGAATTCTCAGATGTAATCAGATGATTCATCTTATTACCATTTTTCTTTGATTGAATTGCTGTAGTTACTATAGCACCCTTCCTGAAACGACTTTTCGCTTGTTTGCCTTCATTTGGGCTAGTTTTCTGTATTAGTGATGTAACATTTTTTATTGGTATATCTGTGAAACTTGGATTGTTCATGTAAGGAGAATTTTCTGATTTGGAGTGTTTAAACCTGAAATGATTGGTGTGCATTAAATATAAATAAAATGACCATTGTTAAAGATAAGCACTTAAAATATAAATATGTATGATTCAATTCTTTCATACAAGGCAACCACCACTGCAGACCACTGGTGGTTCTCAGAAGCATTCTAAGTGATCCATGATCATCCTAAAATTAATATTATATAAAAGTAAATTAAAAATACTATATTTCCGCCAGCGGCTGTGTTGGCAGTGTTGGCTTGTATTATACATAGAAACCTTCCTTTTGAATCACCCTATCTATGTAAAAAAACCACATCAAAATCCTTTGCATAGTTTTAAAGATTTAAGCATATGTAGATAGATAGATTATTCATACAACAACATATACATACGATTTAAGGATATAGGGACAGAGAAAGCAACTTTGTTTTATACTATGTAGTGATGTCATCATCACCAGCCCTTTACACATCTCCACTGCAGGGGCTCAGGCCTTCCTTATGGATGGTTAAGGAGGATGGGCCATGACTCTCCACGCTGGCCCAATGCGCATTGGAGGGTATTGATGACTGCAAATGCAGCCGGGACCAACGGCTTAACGTGCCTTCGGAAGCACTCAAGATAATAATTTTTTGTTCACCCATCTTGTGACTGATGTAGTGATGTCTATTTATATTATTTATAGATAACACATATATAACATATAATAGTATTTTATTAATCTAGACTTAGGTACATGGTGTGTTAAACCAACCAGGTCCATCATAATCACTGAATTTACAATTCTATGATATGAAGAAAATGATCCCTAAAGACTAAAAGGAGGAGAACTAATTCGTAAAAACAAAATATGCATTTGTAGATTTTTCATTACTTTTACTTACTTTCCTTTTTTCTTGGAAGATTTAAGTTTATTTAAAGGATCTATGACATTCTCAGCAACATTTGGCACTTTTAAATGATTCTTTTTAATTTTCTTTTTCTTCTTTTCTTCTTTACTCTTTTTTCTTTCTCCTTTTAGCTCCTCTAGCTTTTGTGAACATGATCTGTTAAGCATATTTATAATATATATTATTATAAAGACAGACAAAAATTTTGATTGCATGTAAACAGTAAATATAAAACCTGTATTGCCTGCAATAGGGGTGATGCATGGGTAAAAAAAAAAAAAGAAATTCTATTCAGTCCATCAGTCAGATAACTGATGGACTGAATAGAAATTTTTTTCATCATTGCTAATGATATTAATTACCACATGTAGATTAAAGATGGCTTATGTAAACTAAATAAGAGAGTAAGCCCTAGTATGATATTAATTTAGGTAAGGTATTCATTCAATAAAGTTTAACAAAATAAGTCAATTTTTAGTTTATTTAGAAATTAACACATTAAAATCTTAGTACTCGGCCCGAATATATTCAGCACCATAACCGAATACGCCGAATACTGAATATCAAACGAATCATCCAAATCGACGCATCCAAAGAAAATTGCTAATATCGTCATGTTTTAAGTCAGCCATTTTTAATAACTTTTTCTATAAATATACATACCTGAGTAACGCCTCACTATCTGTAAAATAAGAGTTCATTGCAAAACTAGAGATTCCCCAAGATAATGGTCCTTTTTCTTCACTTGGCATACCTGACCAGACATTTCTCTTCAATGAGTTAAGTTTTACTTGTAATTCTGTAGGCTGTGTGTTTTTGTTCTTGACATCGGATATGTGCCTAAAATTATAATAATAATTGTTTATTATTTATTCATAACTTATGTTTATCAACATTTTCTACGTACTTTGGTGGGGGTAGACCTCTAAATCTGTGCCATGAAGCAGGTTTCAGTTTAGGTTTCTCAATTGCTTCATTGAACATCGATACACTTCGAGGTCGTATAGATTTAGATACTTTCTTTTCATAGTCAGAATGGTATGGTGAGTCACTAGTCTGTAATTATAAAATTAATTGTCTTTTGATACTTAGGATCAGGCGTTATTGAACCACTTAGACACCATGACTGGCTCGATTAATATCAAACTACAAGTGTTCAAGAAATTGTATTGATTAAAAATTGTTATTACTCTATACACAATCGCGATTCTGAGTGACTTACTTGTGCTGGTATAATTTTTAACTCTGGTGGCATTTTCTTTTTACGCCTAGGTTTTGATTTAGAGGATGAATGCAGTAGCTTGTGAACTTTTCTGATTTGACTAAGATTTTCTTCTACTGATTCACCATCTGAAGAAGCGTCAGTCATCGCGTCCGAGGTTAAGTCTATCGTTGCCCTGGATACCTATAATATAATGATTCTTACAACCTGTTTAATTTGTCATGAAGTAATTCGTTGCTTCATGACAAATTAAACAGGTTGTAAGAAAATATTATCGCCGGTAAAAAATCTAACCTGCAAAGTTTCCCGCTTGGGATTTTTTCTCTCGATTCTTTTTAATTTTTCTAATTTCGGCCGAGGTTTTCTTAAAACCTGCAAGACAGACGGTAAAAATATTTAATAGAAATTAATATTTTTTTAAAGATATTTAATTTGACCTAGGTTTTGTACCATCGGTATAGATCTCTTCGAAATTGGTTTTTTTAGGGATTGATATAAACGAAAACTGATTTTAGGGGTTTACGAGGTCTAAAAATCGACGTTTATTTAATTAAACTGTATACCTCAGCGATGTTTCTATTTATATCTGGTAAAAGTGGTGATGGTGGAGGTGCAGGCTGTGACATATCTATAGCTTCTTTATTCGCACCAGCCTCTGAACTACTACTAGATGTATCTCCTTCATCGCTAATCAAACACAGAACATTGAACATTAGTATGAATTTTACATAAATAAATACTTAATTGATCCCTAAATCATTAAGTACCTGGAATAGTCTGATAAATCAATATTCGTCGGTTCATCTGCATTAGAACCTTCTTGCAAGAGTCTAGTCACAATTTTTGTTCTCAGTCTTTCTTTACTGGGGTCCTCATCATAGAAATCTAAAAGTGTTTCACAGAATGTTTTTCCTAAACTTTCGAAATCTTGAGTGGTGAAGTGTGTCGACATCCTGCTGCCCAATTCTGAACCACCGAATGATGCTTCCATTGTGTAACTGTTCGCTACGCCTAACATCCAAACTACTACCCGACCAGTCCCTTCTTTACTACGCTGAATTCGAAATTTACAATTTTCGAAAGAAAACTGAAAGGGAATGATAACATGTAATCTATATCAAAAGCACTGATAAGTTAAACGGATTAGAAAAAGAAGATGAATTACTTTATCTGCTGCATTTTTATGGAGCATAAGTGGAAATACTTGCTCTTGTAGGCGTTTATCACTAGTTTTACGACTCTCACATCCATAAATGAAAACGTTGTGTTTTCGGGAATGTGCATGTAAATCTACGTACATTGCGACGCCACATTCCTCCTGCAATCTAATCAATAATTTTATTTATCCGTTGTCTATCTATTGTCCTACACGAGCATCACATTGGTCGTCATATCTTACCTTCGCACCATTACTTTAGTGTGCCAAACTGGTGGATAAGTTTCTCTAATAACTGTTCTGTATTGCCTGTTTAAATCTTTTCCGGTTAGTGAACAACGATTGTTGCCGACAATTACCTGGAACTCGACAATTCGGACATGTGATTTTTTGTCACACTCTATGGTTAGTTATAAATTGGTTTTATAATTGCTACTTACACCATCTGGATTTAACATTGGCACTAGTTTAAATATAAATTTTTCTCGTAATTCTCGTGCTTGATTAGAATCTCCAGTCAAATAATCTATAAAACCTTTCATCATCCACGACGATGGTGTCTCACCAGGGTGTACCCTTGCTGTTATTATAACAGCTTTCTTTTTCTGTAAATCAAGGTCGATAACTTTGAGAAGACCCCTGATTTGTTTAACAGATAAATAGAGTTTTGTGACCGATGCTATTGGAGTTAGTATTCACCTTTTGATCCACTTCGCTTAAGTTTGGCGGAGCTGTGACGGTTAAGTAATAAACATTGTTACCGGCTAGTGTGCGGCAAAGTAGCCTTAATTTTGAGTATGTTGATTTTACTGGATGAGCTTGCAGCCGTGAAAGATATTCTTGTAGATCTGAATAAGTGTATGGGTAACAATGAGCAATGTAAACCGCATCATCTGTATGTGGAAATTCTATGTTGAAAGTCAATGTATAACTGGGGAATTGTTCTTCTTCCTCGGATCTACAAATATGTCACTTTACAGTTCTACTCTAAATAATGCAAATAAAAACATTATTTCATATTACTTACGTGGAATCATTTTTGTAATATGCTATGTTATCACCACATCGCCTCCACCCTATTGAATGCAGCTGCGCATCTTTTGTCGAATATAACAGAGGCCGCATACCTTCGTTGTATAAACTTTCTCCTTTCGATAGATTAACTATTGAAAATCTGCAACATTTAGTTTTCAGAATTAAAACTGTCTATTGTGAAAATTTCATTATATTATTAAAAGATATTGCTAATTACCTATACATCATTTGCTTTTTTGTGTTAGTCACTCTAAAGTAAAACCATTGCATGTGTCTGTTAGTATATAAATCAGTTCTAAGATGTAATTCGTAGTAAGCAGACGTTATTTTAATTGCTTTCGCAAGATTACCACTTTCAAATCGAGATTCAAATCTTAGTTCATCCTCACCCCCTGCATTTAAATTAGCGCTAGCACAAGCTGACAGAAACAGTCTTGAACCTCCGACAGTAGAACGACTAAACTGTAAAAAAATCAAAAGTCAAACATCTATAGTACTACAATTATTGTAAAGAGGTAAAGTTTCTAACTTTGTCTATTATACGGAAATACTCATCCATTCGCGAAAATTCTTAACCTACGCCATCCGTAGGTTCAACGTAAAGCTACGTCATACGCATGTGCTATAATTTACGCTGGCGAAATCTAAAATAGCTAGTTAAATATAAAAATCTTAATTAGTGTTTTTAGTACCTGTTTGTTATTGTGCTGGTAAATAGTATCATAGATATCAGAATACTTTTTAAGTGGATAAAAGTACTTCTTAATAAATTCAACCCAGTGCGGTGTCATAGAATCATTTGGTGTCGGTAATCGACTTTTTCAATCTATTTATATCGTGGCATATTGAAAACATCAATAAAATTGTATTACTGCTGAAGTTAAAAGATCAGGTAAAACCGGCTGAGTGCAAGACGGACTTGGTCAGTTTATTTTATATAATAACATTTATCGATGGAAGTACATCATTAAGTCAAAACTTTGAAAAGTGTCTTAACATGTACAGCCTGGTGACAGACGGACAGAGGAGTCTTAGTAGGTAATAGGGTTTCGTTTTGCTTTTTGGGTTCGGATATCTAAAAAGATCATTATTAATCCTGGATTGTAATTGATACTCACGTAATTGACGGCACTCATAGGATAGTATTGAAAGATCACGGAACCAGCGTCTTCACCCACTGGCTGTGGTTTCAGCTCTTTACCAGTTTGTATATAATACGGTTCAGGTGACGCCGGATTCCATGACAAATGTTGTATTCTTTCATCGACAACCTAAGTGACGGGGATATACAGACAATTTGTTATTAGTGCACAAACTTTATGTAAAAATTAAGTAAAACAAAAGAAGGAAAAGTAGTGCATTTTAGAGGTAACTTTGTATTTTTTTGTATCGAATATATTTATGAAATTCACATATTGGCGAGTTAAATATTGCTTCATAGTTATTTATTCGGGTTTATTTTCTCATAATCAATTTGATTGATTTAAATGGAATTAGTGATTGACCTTAAAGAAATTGTTAACGTTCGCATCCTTGAAATTTCAAACTAGTGCGTTTATCTATTGAAAAACAAAAGAATACGTGGAGAACTATATAAGTTAAATGGTAATTATAAAAAGTTACTTTTATAATATAAGTTACTTTAACACAGTTTAATATTTTAATTAATTAATATTTTCGGAACAAAATTAAAGCAATACTTAAATGTCAGTTAGGTACCTGACATTCTGAAGGCCATCGTGGTGCCTGCTGAGGACAGTCTAGCTCTTTCGGTAATGCAAATAAATCTCTTGGTTCTTTTAATTTCGCAATGGTTCTAAATGTTTTTATATCAGTATTTATTTCTATTTGATTAGTCTTGATATTGTTTTGTAGAAAATTCGACAAAAAAGTGCCTGCGTGAAAAAAAAATATAGTACTATAACGGAAATATTAATTTCTTGTCTTCCTATAATTGTAGTTGTAAATGTATATCGATTGTTAAAAGGTAACAACTTTTGAATTACCTTTATTATATATAGGAAATAGCGATGCTTGTAGGGATTTCACTTGTTCTAAATTAGCTATAAAGAAATTATCTTCCAACAAAGTATTCCTTGCGGTTAGCGAAAGTGTTACCGTCGTTTTTTCTATATACTGCCTCTTGGTTTCTTCTTCTCGTTCAAACATCATAACATTGTTTTGGACGCTCTCTAAATGTTTCCACCATAACATCTTAGAGTACTTTTGTTCTGAATGTAACATTCGCAACTGTGTGCCTTCAGGACTTGACGCTATACTACTTCATGTATCGCTTCTGATGCGATGCTTTCTGTCACCATGGTTACAGTTCAAATCACATACCTAATTTACCAGCGGTAAACTTGGGTTCACCAGGCGACGTATCGATGTAAACTGACGAGAGGGCTCTTTTTTGGCTATTGGAACACAGTTTCGTGCTATCGAATAGAACTTTATCAGGTGATTGGTGACGTCAAGCTTATGACTTACGCGAAATATTGGGGGCTACGAGGGGATGAGTGGCTAAATAAAATTCACGTACCTTTTTTTATCTCCATAAATCTTTGTCGAATCTCTAAATTTTCAACGGCATAATGATTTTCTGTCATTGTTATGATGTTGGTCTAACTTATATCAGTTGCAAAATGGAAGACTATTAAGTTTCCATTGTACTATTTACTGAAAAGTTTCATTCTAACTCGCACTGGCGCCGCGATGAGACTGTTAGGCGCTTCGAGGGTGCAGTTATTATAAAGTATATGACTCATGAACTGTTTACTATATTACTGCTAAAACAGAAGATAAGTTGAACTAGCAAGTTTACCACAGTTACGTGTTTTGTAGAATCGACAAGCTATTTCTGACTATAGTTTTAAAACTCTTGTTTGTCAGCCTGTTTCTACGAAGGCTGAAAGTTTCTGGATTGCATTTACGTTTAGTGTTGGAAAGTGAGGCAGTATCGTTTCTGTGTAAACATCATTGGTCTCATTAAATGTATTCTGCCCATAGACAAGCTAAATAACAGACAGTTTTGTTAAATTGCCACTATTTTGTATGTGTAGCGAATGCCTTTTGCATTTTTTAATGTTTACTGATTTTTCTGCGGATGGTATGTTCTTTAAGCGAAATCCCGAGGTGGTCCCATAATTTTTTTATCGAAGTAACATCAGTGGTTTTAATTTTATATGAAACTAGCTTTTGCCCGCGAGTTCGTCCGCGTGGTAAAGTTACTTTGCAGCATTGCAGCATTTCTAACGAATATTTATTCATTATATCGTGTAAAATACCTAAAATATACACTCATCCTCTATTTTATCCCCTTGGGGGTAGAATTGATCAAAATCCTTTGTTAGCGGATGCCTACGTCATAACATCTACCTGCATGCCAAATTTCAGTCCGATCCGTCCAGTGGTTTGGGCTGTGCGTTGATAGATCAATATGTCAGTCAGTCACCTTTGGGTTATACCTATATATTCAGATAGCTGGGGGAATAATGCTGTCAAAGCAGAAAAAATGGAGTATTTAGTTTTTTTAAGATTTCAAGCTTTTTGTTAAGTATGGAACGATACGATAAGTTCAGTATAAAAATACCGAAAATCAAAAATTATTAAATAAATAATTTCATTATTAAAAAAATATTAATAGTCTCTTGAATATTTGAACCGTATTTAAGATGGGTGTAACTTTTCACTTTTATTTTGTTTTATTTTTACTTATCGGAACTAGAGTAATTCTTTAATCACTAATAGATATTGGAATAACATAAAATAACTAATGATGGTGATAATATCTTACGTCATATGTCAGGAGGTTCTTAATTTTTTTTTAAATATATGTATGTATATTAATATCTGTACTATTACAATATATGCTTTAATGGTGTCATGTAAGATTATGTAATTTTCACACATATCAAAACGTACTTTCTTTGTGTCTTATTCTCTCAATGTATAAAAGTACCGATTTTTATTTATACTTACTGTCCTTTTAAGTCGTTATACGCTGAAATACCTATTATTTGTCAATCTGGAATCTATGTTTATAGTAAATATTTAAATTGCGTGCGTGAGGAATGTGACTGCGTTTTCATACGTCCTTTAATAGTTTTAATGGGGTATTTTGATATAAATTTATATTATTTTTTTGTGAACGGTCTATTTACCGTTTAGGTCTAAGTAGTAAAGAGATTTTGCTGATCTGATATCGCGTAAACATTGCACTTTAATATATTTCAAAGCAACATTAAGAATTGGATTTAGCAGGAACGATTTGATTCAGGTATGCGAATCAGACATCCTTATTGAAATAAGGTTCATTGTGTATAGAAATTATTACCTTGGTAACTCTTATGTATAATCGATGAAATGTGTAAAGTTCTATATCGGCTGTGTAGCGGTAAGTTTGTTTTGTTTTACTTTATTCAGATATAGTAAATAATACACATAATCTGATATACAATTGTACATATTATATCTAATGTATATTATATAAAGTATTTGAGGATTTGGGCGCTACAAGTACAATTATAATTTGCTGTATGCCTCTTTGGGAAGATTTTATAACTTTCATATGAACAAATTAAACCACTATAAAATTCCTTACTTCAAAAAAGTGATTAAATAAAATAAAAACATATTTTTATAAATTGATTTGAAGTGCCTGTGAAATTAATTAATCATGTAACATGAGCCATGACGTCACATTTTAATAAATATGAGTATTCGTTTCTACATTTTTTATTTTATATTTACTTGACAACATTTAAAGTATGTGAGTAGCCAAACACTAAATACGTAAGCGGCAACCGGAGGATGCAAAAAAAAAAACAATTTTTATTTTAGACTATTTAATATAATTAAAATATTACAACTAAGTATGTGACTATTGTTTGATGGTGTAACAAAAAGTGCCACTTCGTCAGTCGCCGCCGCATCGTCCGGTGTCCGATGATGCACGTTCCGCAGCGTCAGCGCCTCGTGACTGGTTCATAGTTTTTTTCGTAATTTTGGGTAATCGCTAGCTTGCAAGTTGCACGATGTGGCAGTGTGTAACATCTCCCCCCATAGTACAGCAACTACATGAACCTTTTGTGAGAGAGAGTGGCTGAGATGTTTCTGTGATCCACTTCTATTTCCCTCTGATCTGGCGTAGCGTAGATGACACGTGGTATATCTTCGCTCGCTTTAATTATGATGTTATCTTGTTTCTGTAGGTTTTGTGACCGTAGACGTCTGTAGACTACGACAGCGATGAGTGCTACGAACCCAGTTAATATTACAGTATAGATAGGGATCGTAGTATGGTAAAGCGCGGATTTTGTGATTTTATTCAAATGGACCGGAGTCTGCATAGATATCTTCGTGTTGATTGAATGCAGATTTTCTAAGTTCACAGAGTTTAAGACCACGTGTGGATGTTCCTGGTAGCTAGACTCATTATACTTAGCTTAATTAACAGGAGGCACTTGGAATTCCGTCGATAAATTTTAGTATGGTAAAGCGAGGATTCTGTGATTTTATTCAAATGGACCGGAGTCTGCATAGATATCTTCGTGTTGATTGAATGCAGATTTTCTAAGTTCACAGAGTTTAAGACCACGTGTAGATGTTCCTGGTAGCTAGACTCATTATACTTAGCTATTTTCATTATTTTAACTGCGTGTCCTTTGATGCGATTGTTGGTATTGACTATGGTGAATTCAGATGATTTCTGATGACAGTTGAACGGGATGGCAGCGAGATAACTTCCTTGAAGGGTTTTATATAACTCTTGTCCGCAGGATATTTTCACTTTGGTTGGCCTCGGAAAGCTGATTGTATAGTGTTTGCTATCCAATTCTTCAAGGGCTTCATTTCGTAGGGCTTCATTTCGTTTCGAAGTTGCTATATAAGATGAAGGAGGTATAAGGGTTTTGTGGTTTTTATTGGGAACTATGGCTAGTTTATATAGATTGAATAGAAAGGGATAGGCAATCGGTACCTTAATAACTATTGTTATTTCATTGTCAGCGTAAAAATAACCTAATTTATTTTATATCATAAAAGTTTCTATAATCTATATGCAAAATTTCATCTTTCGGGTATAGGACCCTTAATTTGCTTAACATATTTTTTATTTCGCTTTTACTAACTATAGAATGGGATGCACTCGATGTACGAATAAATGCCAAGGTGTTTTCTAATCTAAATAATTCTTGAGATAAGTTTTCTATATTATCTCCTAAAATAACTAAATGTTGCGCCAAGTGCGCGTATTTAATTAAATCATTTTCTCTGGTACTATCACTTTCCATTATTACTTTTAATACCTGATTTATCTTGTCTTGATTTTTTGCTAAATTATCTATCGTAATTGAACTATGAAAGATCCAATTCTTATTTAGGGTGATATGATTATTAATTTCAGATTCCAATTTCTGTTCGTTACTTTAGAGAATTTTTATCGCATGATTGTATTTTATAGCATCTGTATAGTCAAGGTTACCAGAAATACTCTTGATTACGGATCCGAGATCATCAATGAGCCCTCGTTTACTACGATTTGGTCTGAAAGTTAGTAATTGTTCTGAAATTCTATTAAGCTTAGCATGAAGATGTTCAACATGAGGGCCATATAGTGATAAGGTTTTATTATTCAATTGAGGTCTAGATTCTAATAATTGAGTTTTTACTAATTTAATTTGGGAATATAGGGTGTTAAGGTCAATATATTTTAAGAAGAAGTGATAGTGTGCTACAATTTTTGTTGGTTCTAGTTTGAAGGGTAGTAATCCTGATCCGTCATCCAAGGAGTAAATCGTTACATCTTGTCCGTTGATCAGTTGAAGCAGGGTCAGTAATAGTAGTGTCATAAGCATATTATATTGATTTTTCTCTGTGGGTCGATGTGTTGATCCTCCTCTGGTATGCAGCTCCCGTAGATTCCGGATACTCGAAAACAGAGCTTGAAAGCCGCCCGGGCGATCCACGACGTGATTCCCGAAAATAATTCGCGTACCGACCCGCGAGTATCCTACCGACTGCGCCAGATACGTAAACGGCAACCGGAGGATGCAGAAAAAAAAAATATTTTAGACTATTTAATATAATTAAAATATTACAACTAAGTATGTGACTATTGTTCGATGGTGTAACAAAAAGTGCCGCTTCGTAAGCCGTCGCCGCATCGTCCGGTGTCCGATGATGCACGTTCCGCAGCGTCAGCGCCTCGTGACTGGTTCATAGTTTGTTTCGTAATTTTGGGTAATCGCTAGCTTGCAAGTTGCACGATGTGGCAGTGTGTAACACACTCGCAAACAAAGACATTGACGTTTGCTCTGTCATAACCGCTTGCATTACTGTTCTTGTTAGAGAATGAAAGCAATGGTTTAATACTAAAAGAGTTCCTGGGTACCTGGGACTAGAGGAGATTTTAAGCATTTTTAATTAAGAAAAAAACAATATTGCGCGCAATGTGCAATCATCCGAATTTGGTTGGTATATCTATATCTCTGCGTAAGGAACGGTTAACGTCTTTCTATACTATGATGATTTTATTATATTTAGATTTCTCTCACTCTCACTCTTTTATTTCATCCGGTTAAACATGTTTTCTTACCGAGACGAATAATTGCAAGACATTATTCAAAGATAGAGAGAGAAAGACACAAATGGCCCTAAAACATTTTTTTGTTCTTGTCTGGTGTGAAATTTGATAAAGCTACTTGCATATTTATTAATATGTATTTTAATGTTTTATGTGCACGGAAAAAATGTTGTGTAGGTTTATTATCTTTAATTTCGGTTTAGGTATTTGAACTTTGTATGATTAATAATGAGCTTGACGTGAAACTATCAAGTGGTAGAAATCGTATTAAACTCTACTTCGTTAATTCTTTACCGAACAAAACACGAACATCTTTGAACATAACACGTCAGCGTTTTACAAAATTTGCGTGGCTGCTTAAAATTTTCAAACACATGTAATTATGGTTTTACTTTTAATTAACAGGAGGCACTTGGAATTCCGTCGATAAATTTTAGGTTACAAATGTTTGTTAGGAGACTATCAAGCTTTTCATACATTACCTACTTGAATTAAAATCGAAGTTTGATTTAATTTGGTTAGTTTTTTCGTCAATATAAATTGGAGAAGTAAAAATACAGTTTATATTTTCAATTACTGTCTTTTGCACATAACAGCGTATAACTATAGTAAAAAGAGCCAAACCTGTAAAGGTGATTGACCGTTCCTTGGCACCGGGTGGCGCGGATCGATTTCCTTGTCTGTCCGACTTATTGTCTAGTGGCACTCATCAATGAAACTGACTTGGAACTGTATATTTTCAGTTCTTTTCCTTTGTTCCAAAGAAATTGACAAACTGTTCACATTCACAGTAAGTACATACTTACTTACTATCCGTACTTACAGTTCATACAAGTAACAAGCATTCAAGTCGGAGTAAGACTTTTTGGATACAAAAATGTTTTCCATTATAGATATGTTTTTCATTTTGTAGTAATTATTCTTAGTAGTTAGATCTATTCATTCATAAATAACGTGACATAACGTTATTTTGAATTTTATGCAACATAATAACTGTTGCATAGTATTAAAAAATGTGAAAATTGAAATATTCATTCTCAATGAATACTTCAAGATTTATTATCAGGAATCTACATGTAAATAGATCTCAATATTACTATAAATAGTTTCAGAGAATTCTCGATTACTGAAGCAGTAGAGACAGTCAAACAACCCACATATATTGTAGAAAAAATGCGCAACTACCTATTTGTTTTGTTTTGCTTTGGATTCATAAAATTGTACTTCATACCGTGACTTTTAATGGGGTTAAGAGCGGTACAGAATATAGGTCATCTGTAGGTATAATTGATTATGTTTAAGGTTTTGCCAAAATGGGACGCAAAGTGACAGTAGCTGTATGTACTTTAAACCAATGGGCCTTAGACTTCGAGGGAAATTTGAGCAGAATCCTTCAATCTGTACAAGAAGCTAAAGAATTAGGAGCTATGTATCGCACGGGGCCAGAATTGGAAATATGGTTTGTGTGTTTATTATACTATGAATTCAGTATAGATATTCACCTATGAACAAGTAAAAATTTAATATTTTCAATTAAGATGTTAAAGGCTGTCTGGAAGAGATTAAATATATAGGAAATAATTAACCGCCTTAAAAAGGGGTCACTTATTCGTCCTGTATGTATGTATGTGTGTTTATGCGCGATTATCTCGAGTTTGGCTGAACTGATTTTGATGCGATTATCAAAAAGTATTTTTAGTATTACCTGTTATATAAAAATATCAATATCACAAAAGAATGAAATAAAAACTTAAAAACGACTTCAAACTTTAAAAATATACTTATCATTGCATTTTCATAATTATTATTTTTATAAACTTTAAAAATAATAATTATGAAAATGCAATGAAGCCTGTCATTTAATTAATAACCTACAGAAAACCTCCGCCGGACTTTCGGGTCAATTTTTAAAATAGCATATTGGTTAGTTTGTCTCTTCTTAATTGTTAGGTATTTTCTGTACGTTTTGTGATTTTGAGTGCTATAAAGATTATTATTATACATAGTAGATATTAATTTCATTAGATTAGAAGTATTCGAACGCCGTTGAAAATTGAAATACCGCATACTATTGTTAGAATTACTTTAGGAATTATATTTGCTTACAGTAAAACAAATTTTTCATACATTTTAGATATTTTTTCGAATAAAGCAATTTGCTTTCCAGTGGTTACAGTTGTGAAGACCACTTCTATGAATCTGATACCTACCTCCACAGTTGGCAAGTACTAGCGGAGTTGCTCAAATCGCCAACATGTAAAGACATACTTATAGACGTTGGTATGCCAGTGCAACATAGAAATGTTTCTTACAATTGTAGAGTAGCATTTCTCAATAAGAAAATCATACTTATCAGGCCGAAGATGATGCTGTGCGAAGATGGAAATTATAGGGAGACACGATGGTTCTCTCCTTGGACGAAAGTACGTGTACGAGACTAATGTGCATAACTCACTTTTGTTGTATATTTTTGTCTCTCTAGTTTTGCTATGTAAAAAGAGACTTATTAATATTTTTACTTTTAAATAAGGAAATTTAGAATTAGTGGGAAAACTTGTTTAATTTTTAGAAGTAACTGCCTTGGTACACGACGACGACGTTTTTGTATGCAGCTTAGTGACGAGTGAAGAAAAAAATATGAGTTGAATTGTAGCGTTACGATCTAAGTGCTCTCTTATAGATACGATTTCTCAAGTAGGTGAAACTAAAGGATAAATATATCGTTTTCTTTCTATGTCTATCCATATATAAAGATATTCGTACTCTCAGTCTACACTCACAGTTTACTCCGCGGTAGTTACAATGTACCTCGTTTCGTAGATGTGTCGTTAGAGAAATTTCCAACTTTTGCAGATATTCGTTGCTGCATACAAACGCGATGGTGTCCATTAAAAACTAATGGCGTGAGAGGTCTATTGACAATAATAGAATAGTAGGTTTTATAGGCTTGTCTATAAGCCAACGGGGGCTTAAGCGCATAACTATTCATACATCGTGTTTAGGCTTTGTTTTAAGTGAAACACAATGTATCCACGTTAGAGGTGCAGATCTTTAGTTTATAGCTATATACATTTTGCTCTGAAAAAAGTCTTATTTAATTATATTTAAATCTCCCAAATACATTAACTGGATCAGATAGATTGATTTTTCAGGAAAGACAAATTGAAGATTACTATTTACCAAGAATGATAACAGCTATTACTGAGCAGTCTACAGTGCCATTTGGAGACGCGGTGATTTCAACTAAAGACACTTGCATAGGTTTTGAAATATGTGAAGAGTTGTGGAATCCACAAAGGTAAAGTAGATATGAAACATAATAATGTTGATTAAAATATTAATCAGTTAAATTAAAGAATCTGATTTTTCAGTCGGCACATTCCTTTGAGTCTTGATGGTGTAGAAATCATATCTAATGGTTCTGGTAGTTATATGGAATTACGAAAAGCTTACGTCACAGTGGATTTAGTCAAGAGTGCCACCTTCAAAAGTGGAGGAGCGTATTTGTTCAGCAACCTGCGCGGTTGCGATGGCCAAAGGATATATTTCAATGGATGTTCATGTGTAGCTGTTAATGGTGATATCGTTAGTAGGGGACTCCAGTTTGCATTGCACGATGTGGTATGTATTTGTTGGATTACACAGCATTGTGAATTATTTATAAAAAATCATCTAAGAACACTTTTACTCGAGAACATCTTTGTTATTCATGTACGTAGTTTTTTATTTTTATAAGAAAACCATGCTTTACTTTTTCAACTTTAGCTCATAATAAAAGAAAGAAAAGAAAAAAGTATATTTTGCATAGGTTCTTGTTGATTCGGTTGGTATACAACGACGAGGGTTAGGTGGAGAGTTCTCTGAGTACGATATAAATTCTCATTAAGGTAATACATTTTTTTCATTTTTAGGAAGTGATTTCGGCTACAATAGATCTCGAAGATATTCGTTCGTATAGAACTCAGATACGGTCTCGGTCACATTTAGCTGCTTCTAATAATCCGTTTCCACGAATCAACGTAGACTTTGCGCTTTCTGATGACGATGATATAAATTTGACAATAAGTCCACCTATGGAGTGGAAATACTTGACGCCCGAGGAAGAAATAGAATTAGGTGAGGGTGATTATAACATTTGTTCATTTCGTTGGAGGAGAAATAAAATCGTTCTATGCAAAGTACAAATTAGCTATTACTATAATAAATAAACCATATTATATTTTCCAGTAATACTATAATGTGAATTAAGAACATTTCCTCCAAATAAATTGCAATAACGAGGGTCAAAAGGTTTGCGGAAACTTTCATAAGCTTCCATTCCTTTTCATTATATGTGTGTGCATAAATTATGTTGTTAGGAATACCTATAACTTCATAAGAATATGCATCTATTTCATAAGAATATGCACAGGTATATTTTAACTTGATCTTTTATAGTACCTATTATTAGGACTAATTTGTGGTTGCGATTTCAACTGTGATTTATCGTTGATATATCTTCCTTGAGCAATATGGTCTATTTTTCTTACATTTCAATTATTTGTTTGTAATAAAGATCTATCTATCTAATATATGAAATTTTAAATATTTCTTTTCCATAATAGTTTTAATATTTTGTGTCAGGTCCAGCTTGTTGGTTATGGGACTACCTAAGACGTTCAGGACAGGGTGGGTTCTTCCTGCCTTTAAGCGGTGGTGTCGATTCGACCAGTACAGCTTGTATAGTATTCTCGATGTGTACCCAAATTTGTGATGCTATACAAAAAGGAGGTAAGTATTTAATTTTATCGCTATAGTTATATTAATTACACTTACTTTGCTTTGAAAGAATAAAAATGATCTGTTTATTATTTAACACCGTTTTTGTTTCATTGAGTGTAAATGTTTTCATTACAGAGAGTCAGGTTTTGTACGATGTGCGGAAGATTCTATGCCAATCGGACTATACACCCTCGGATCCAATGGAGCTGTGTAATAGACTGTTAGTTACATGTTATATGGCTTCTGAGAATTCTAGTCAAGAAACAAAACAAAGGGCATCACAGGTATCCTGTTTAAATATGCTACAGTTTCATAATTTTATTTTCATGTGGATTGTGGATTTAGTATTCGAGATTAATATCAGTGCGGCAAAGAACTATTTTTTTTTAAAGTGTGCCTCTATATCATCTTTAAATGACTTACAATATATCTTTTATGCATGTAAGATCAGTCACCATCAGTCATCATTATTATTAAAATTTGATCTTATTGTGAAACATGTTGTAGAAGCTGGACTCACACCCCAGTCAGTATCTGTAAGATCTGCTGTGTACTGCCCTTACACAAACTCACGTGTACAAACGGCGAAAAATCTTGCAAAAATCATAGATTTACAGTTATAGCAATGGGCTTCCGCAAAATAACGCCTGATTCTTTTAAATACTTAAATATTGATTACTAATGATACGGGGTCTGAACATTATGTTCACCTAACTGCTGCATTCAAGAGTCATTAACATACAAAACGATGACGGTTACATTATATATTCAATAACTACTATTAGTTTCTAATGTAGTCAGTAATCATATTTATTATTATTATTATCTAACTTTTTTATTTTCAGTTGGCTAGTGAAATAGGCAGCTATCACTTTCCAATAGTTATAGATGCCGCTGTGAGCGCCGTTATAGGTATATTCACTACTGCTACGGGACTTGTGCCCAAATTTAGGGCCAAAGGTGGGTGTCCCAGACAAAACTTGGCCCTACAAAATATACAGGTAAATTAACAAGATTTAGACTTAGAACGTTTTTGTACTGCATATAATTAGAATTAGAGAAATTCTATGAAGAAAAAAGAACTAGAAAATTTCGTTTTGGCCTTGGCGTCGTAATTAGCTGTATCAATCATCTTCATCTATTTGGTCAAAGGGAAACAATGAAGTATGAGTAATTTTTACTTATATATTATAGTGCCTTTGTTACTTGCTATTTCGAAAAAATGTATTTTTTTTTGCTGTTGTTCTTACAGGGATCTTGAATTTTATTTTTTTAAGATATGTATTTGTTGTTGGTCATTGCTTAGGTTTCTTTGTTTACTTTCAGGCGCGACTTCGAATGGTACTCTCTTATTTGTTCGCGCAGCTAATGTTATGGGTGCGAGGTCGCCCGGGTGGCTTACTTGTATTAGGGTCATCTAATGTCGATGAAGCTCTTAGAGGCTATATGACTAAGTACGATTGTTCAAGTGCCGACATCAATCCCATAGGAGGTATATCTAAGACTGATCTTAAAACTTTTCTGCAGTACGCCAAGAGTCGGTAAGTTTCCGATACTAAACTGTAATAGAAAATAGGTTTTTCCGTCTACCTATATTTCTAACCTAACCTAACTCAACTATTAGTTTTAATCTTGTTAATACACGTTCTTTACAATTTATTGCAATGCAACGTAAAAGTTTCTGCCACTAATTAAATTAAAGTAGCTTAATATTTTCCAGAACAAATAAGTAATTCATTTGAATTTCAAATTTCTTTTAAAGAAATGTTACTAATTAGTGTTTTATTTTTAGATTCTTCTTACCGTCTTTGTCGGAGATACTTCAGGCGCCTCCGACTGCTGAATTGGAACCTTTGACGGACGGTCAAATCACACAAACAGACGAGCAAGATATGGGAATGACATACGTAGAGCTATCGGAGTTCGGGCGTCTGCGGAAAATGCATCATTGTGGTCCATACAGCATGTTCAATAAACTGGTACACACATGGAGCAATAAGTGTACACCACAAGAGGTCATTAAAACTTTTTAAAGGCTCTTTATTCTATAATGTTTCTATTTTGAATAAAAATTACCGTTAGTTCCTTTATGCAACAACTTTCTAAAAACTGTTTTTTTTAATTAATCGTTACGGGCGCTTATTCCCAAAATAATATTATTTTTAGTAAATAAACCTCACTATATCCAAAACTATTTTTACAATTTAATTGTTAATGAAATCCGCATAATCGGCGACTCGGAAGAAGTGACGCTATTTGTGGGGTAAACAAACGGAATTTTCAGTGAAAAAAATGGGTATTACTGTCTATAGTACTTATATTTAATCTCACAAGTAAATAAAACAGCAAACTGACCCTTATGACCCTAGTAAGTCAAGTAAATCGTTAAGATTATTTTGCATTTTTGTTTCCCGCGCTTTTCTTAAATAGTTTTACTACCAATTACTCACAAATGACGATACTCGCTCTGATTGGTGTTTCATTTGACACAGACTACAAATATTAGAATATCATATTTTCGTTTATCGATTATTGTTGTTTACCATAAATATTCGGCGAATAATCTTTAAAATATGAACTTCTTAACCACATACATTTTATTTTTCTTTCTAATTGCTCTTCAATCCCTTATTTTTTTTTGATTTAAAATTAATTGTAAGTATATTTTATTTTGCCAAAATCAACTTGCGTTTCGAATCTGTAGATTACAAGATCCGAAATACGGCGGCTATGACGGAGTATCGTGTGACGTCATATTTCAATAAACTAAACGTTAACATCTGTGTTGCGAGTACTCATGTTTATTGAAATATAACGTCATGGCTCACAACAATATTTAAAATAATGAATAAAAATAGGTTTTTTCTTTATTCAATAGTTAGTTTTATATGATTATGATGACAGTTTCAAAATACTTTTCTCAATACAGTCAAGTAGGGAATTAACTCAAGCGAACGCCAGCTTCTTTTAAACTTTTTTATAACTACACGTGAGTTGCCCTCGTTCTTGCCATCAACCACAGAACAAGGAAAAAAAGTTCTGTGCCTTCAACGAACGCGTTACATCTTGAACATCAGCATCGATTGTTGCTACGGATGCTGATGTTGATATAAAAAACAATGCTGACAATCAGCGGATGTTCGCGTTAATATTCCGGGGAAATTTCTAGCAAGTAAGATTGCTACTTCGGGCCAACATAATATCGGGTTGGCTAATTTTCTAGTTGATTTATATCAATCGACATATATCCGGTGATATCATTGAACTCTGATTTATTTATCGCAGGTGGCAGAGAAGGTGAAACACTTTTTCCGCTGTTACGCTATCAATCGGCACAAGATGACGGTGCTGACGCCCTCGTACCACGCAGAGTCCTACAGTCCAGACGATAATCGTTTCGATCACCGGCCGTTCCTCTACCGAGTGCATTGGAACTGGCAGTTCAAAGCCATAGACGATGCTGTGAGTTTCTATTCATACACTTTTTTATTTACAATCATTTTCTTCTTAATGAAAAATGCTTAAAACATCCACCTTATGGCATTCTGAGAAATGACTTGAATCCATGACCTTTCGCAATTAAAATGTTATACTGAATATTTTTCAGTATAGCATTGTGAATGCAAAATGGATGAAATATAATAATCATTCTCTTATCAGTGAGTTATGACAATAATCTCGTGTCTTTGTCTATACTAACCTTATCTCATAAAGAGGTAAAATTTCTCGTTTTATTTGTTGGTTTGTAGGGGTGATCTTCCGAAACCTATTTGAAGCTACATCATAGGCGGGTACTATAAGCTATAAATATCACTAGTGAAGTCACGGGAAAGCAGCTAGTAATATAATAAAGAAGAAAGATTTTATTGCTTTTAGTCTATCCAAGACTTCAACACAACTGAACAAATTTATGAAATTCTCCATGAAAGAGGTCGAATATATAGAAATCCTGATAGAAATTGTTAGCGTCTTATTTTATTCAAAGTTTTGTTTACTTATGTTATTTCAGGTAGCGCATATGACGAAAGAGAAACATAGCCTGCCACGGGACGCTGATCGTTCACAAGTAAAACAAGATATCGGTAAAATTAGCAACGGTAGCGCTTCTGCACCCAGTGTTAATGCACCCTTATATTCGCGCAGGAAAGGCGTTCTCATATAACATTAACGTTCATTACCAATTGAGATAAACCAAATTAAAGTGACATAATTAGGATTTTAGGAGGCAATTATTCAAATTAATATACAATCGAAAGGTACAAGAATTATAAAAAGATTTCAAAAGTTCATTAAAATCAAAGTTCATTCATATTATTAATCATATGTCATGCTTATTGAGTTTTTTTTTTATATATCATTGATATTTTCTTAAAAAGCCACAGACATTTGCTTCTATAATAGAATCTACGAACGTGGATTTTAGATTAACAGACAATACCGAAATAACGACAACTATGTATGTATATAGTACAATCTTACAATCGTTTCGTAAAAATACAGACAGACCTTGGCTTTTTAGGGTAGCTGATATAAACACATTTATATTATGTACAGAATATAGATATTGCTATAAGTAGTAACATAGAAGTAATCATATAAAAAGTGTTTAGAAGTTGATCGGGAACAATAACTTTCAATTTATAGGAGTTAACTTCTCCTTTGGAATAATTTAATAAGCTTATAAATAGACGGTGTTAGTTAGGTTGCAGATTATGACAGCTGTCACTTGATCACGACTGGGGTATGCAATATTTGTCTGATTTAACATTTAATAAATTTACTTCTTTGTTTTGCAGCTTATTTATTTAGAATGGTGTTATTTTTTTTTTGTTTCACCTAATATATATTTACATTCAATGGGGGCCATCCATAAATTACGTTACACGTTAGGAAGGGGGAGTGTCGACGCACTGTGACATTAGAACAATATTTAGTAGAATTTGTATAGACAAACAGGTGACATGAGGGGGGGGTGTGTTAAAATCAAGAATTTTGTGTGACGTGATTTATGGACGGCCCCTAGGTAGTGTAGCAAGCATTAGGCGAAATTAAAAACGCACTTCAAAAATTTATATCTGATTTGTTTGTGCGAAAGATATTCGATAAATTTAATAATAAAATAAGACGAATGATACATATCCTGGTAATAATCGTTGTCATAACTCTTAAACTAACTAGTGTCATTAACTTTTATATTAACTAAACGATTCACATTAGTACAAAAAATTGTGATATTGAAAAGTCTGTTTCATGTTTATATAGCAACGTATTGTAATAAAAAAATCTACAAAAGCACATAATCACAATGAGTGTTGTAATGAAATTCAATAATTAAATACGTCGTCATAGTTTGTAAAGCTGTGTTTGTTATTGTGGTGTGTTTAATGTTTGCGGGCTAGTTGAAACAAAATGAAACTATTGCGTCTACAGTTGGGTCATTATAAAGTCGCATTTGACATGCATCGATATAAACTTGATAGTGAGGCTTCCTTCTTCAAATTTTCGATTAATTTATAGAATTGATACCGTTTTCAAAAAATGTGAATCAAATAAAGTTATTGTGTAATTTGTGATTTATTTAATAGAAGTAGTTATGTATCGAAAAAATCACAGATAATAAATGAATTACCAAGCGTAATGTAAAATTTTAACGAGTGGGATAAATCCCAAAATGCGTTTGTATCTCATTGACTAAAATCATTGAGAGATTAAAAATATGTTTTTATTTAAAAAAAAAAATAATGGTACTAAACTAATCGAAAGTGACCTTTGGTGCAATGTTGTTGACTCGTTAATGTTGTTCAAAATACCTAGTCTCATTTAAGAGGGCGCTTAAATGAAATTAGGTATTTTGAATAACATTACCGAGTCAGTTGTGTATTCTTTGAGTATACAACTAAATGAAGAATGAAATTGTTCATAATTCAAACGTTACTTATTTAAACAATATTCTAGTGTTTAGAATTCTAGTGGATACATCCCTACTGTTTAAAAATGCAACGGGTCCACAGGCATAATATAACATTGTATAACATGTGCTGCTACATGTTATATATATAACATGTAGCACAAACTAAACGCTGCTACAATCCAATGTATAACATTGTAGCAGCGTTTAGTTTGTTTATTATGAAATAGATTTATTACTTAAAGAAAGGTTTATTGGTCAAAGTAAAACGTAAAATTGCTTTAGTTTTACATTATGACAATAAAGATATTTCAATAAAAGTAATTTGCAATTCCACCATTTCCGTAATTTTGAAAAAAAATATAATAATATGTTAACTACATTACAAGGTTACTTTGATGTTGAGGCTGAGAAATGCCACATGTGGCCTATTATAATGACCCAACTGTTATATCACCTTACAAATCAGAAAACGATATTTTATTATATTGATCAATTTTGCAATGCAATATTAGAAAATATTCTTAATGAAAAAAGCTTAAAAACAATATTATAAAATTTTAAAATAAGTTTTGTTTAAATGTCATAGTTATCTTTAATAATAGGTAAATATTTGTTTAAATTAGCCCTATTTCAGAAGCACGTGTTTTGTATGCTTATTGTTTTTATTAAGGTGGGTATAGACATGGAAAACTAAGGTATAGATTCTATACCATGATATATTCTATTTATTCGTATGAAAATTATAATACTCGATTTTCTATAGAATTTTCATACTCGATTACGATCGAACGTAACAATTGGCGGCTTTATGGTTTAATGCGATTTCTACCAGGCAATATGGGGATGGAGAAAGAAACCATGACTTTGTTTTATATATAACGAGACGTCACGCATTAAACCGTTCCGTCACTGAACATTTGTTATTCGTATTCTTTGCTGATCGGTGACGAAATGGTCTTGTGCTCTTCATTATAAATACCGCTTATATACAAGACTTAGCAGGCGGTTATCCAATTGGACTTCTGTGTACGAAATAAAACAGGTGAGAAGTAAGCAGCTCTTGTCGAGTCTCTTTCTTGCTTGTAACAGCCCGGACAAAATAAACAATATTGAATTTGAATAGTAGCTTGTATTGTTTTGGTTTCGTGGTTGTTATACATAGCATGTGATGGTATAGTACGGTGTAATGGAAATAATAATGGGTGTTTTCATTTAGCTTTCCCAATCCTCATCCACTGAGTAAGTCTATTAGTGGGGGAGAGTGCCATATACGTATTTCGTCGAGTCTAGCGTTAGTGCGTAACGGATTGTTCCTGAATCAGCCGAAAGTGAGATATCCAGTCTACGTTGCTTGTCTTGCTTGGCTCGCATGCTACGAGCGAGTTTTCACGAGCACTTATTCTCGCGAATAATAATAATTCTTATGCAGTGTCCATTCTAATGGAAAACACTTTTCAAATAGTAATGCTGTGTTTTATTGAGAATCATATAAATTACATTTGGTTTATCACCTTTTTCGCTTTGTCTAAACCCACCTTTACAGTTCCTTATGTGATGTGAACGTTTTAAGCAGTTTGTGAATGGCACAAATGATTTTTATGTCGTATAGTGTAAGCTGTCATTGTAATAAATAATCCAAATCGCTTAACTAGTTTCACTCAACTTTTTTTTTAATACCATTAACAAGCAAAGCACGAGGTAATAAATCTATGGTTACCCTTCCCATGTTCGGCCTTTTCCAGCGTTGCTGAATGTGCTTTCCACTGCGTTATAAGACTATACATACGTTTATATTTTATTAAAATAAATTTAATCAATTTATTAAATTATTACGAAACATCTGTGTCTGTGCAAACAAATGAAATAAAATTTTTAACAAATAGTTATTTCAAGAAACTCTGTGTTGTTTGTCTTTTGGTTATTGTAACCATATGTTTTGCGTAATTGAACGTTATTTATTTAAGTATTCTTGCTTCCAATGTAGCCATAAATCAATTGATAGAATATGAAACAACACATTTTTATTATGTTATTATACTTTATTCAATAATGTGGAATGTCATCTACTAAAAGAATTGTAAATTAATATTGTTATCACTTGAAACTGTAATTCTGATAAAATCGAAAAAGTCATTGGATTTTACATTTTATGAATTTAACCATTAGTCATGAAAAGTAAATTTTAAAGACTTTGATCTCAATCTCTCAATCTCAAAGGATTCGTTTTTCCGTATTGATAAGTAATTTATTGAATACAATGTTAAATGTTAATTTTTAACCGTCAACTAATCCAAGGTAACTGTGTAGGTAATTTAAAACTACAGAGTCGCTTGTATGATTTATTTAGTTGTGCTATTAAACTATTTGTAGTACCTACATATATTCTACACAGAAAAGTATGTATGCGTATATGTATTGCATGTATATTTTGTATTATGTATATTTACTAACGCTTTTATGGTTACGATTTTATGTACGGTTTTTAATCTTTACCGCTTACTACTGTTCCATACAATCATACTGGTTGACAGGGAGAGAATGCCTCTATGGCATTAAGTCCGCCATTTGTCCTTAGTTAGGCAATAAGAGAGTAAATGAATAAATAAATAAAAGTAAACAACTGAACAAAAAGCTGTTAAAATAACTCTTTTGATTCATCAAAATAATAGTAGCCTTTGAATAATAAATATTTTGTTTCTTCTCTTTTAGAAGAAATCGAAGTGTAACGTCAATTTTTGTCCAAATTACTAACTTGCTTGTGCTCGCTTATATGTTTTATAAGGTTATGATTTAATTGAAGTGAAACTAAAACAAAAATTGGATTAATGTATTAAGAAAACTGAAAGTGATCACATTTCCAATAAATTAATAAAAACAAATTATAAAGAGCTTTAGACATACGTAATATTATTGCATTTCCTTGAATATTGCTAATACCTATGTATAAAATCACGGATAATCAAAAATGTGTATTTCGTTTTAATTATATTTTGCCTTTTTTTTAGCTTTTTTATATTCGCCTTTAGTTTTAGCTCTTTTGTATACCAGTGCTTTAATTATTATATTTGATTAATTCTGCATTTATAATGTTATAATGAAAAATTTTCTTAAAAATTCTAAAAATCCACTAATACTCTATGATGGGATGGGATGAGGTAACCAGAGTACCTGGGGCTGATGGCTTTTTTAAGTATTTTTTATTAAAAATATTAACCAGTGTTGAAAGCACTAATGCCATAATATAAATTCGTAATTTGCACATCTTAAAGTACCTGTGTAGCTTTGTGGTTAAAATTTGACATAAGGGTGCTATTTGATACATTTTCAATAAAGCTTATGAGTTTATTATTATTTATAATGTTATTTGGTTATATTTCAGCCTAGACGTCGGCATACTGGACCACAACCAGAAGCAAAAAGAAGACACAGTGAAGCTAATATGTGATTTTACAAGCTTTTATTTAAATTACATTGTTAAGTCTTCTTGTGTAAACAAATACTGAAATTCTTATTTAAAATTTAGCTTAATATGCCAATAATATTTATACATTTTACTCTCCAATCCGCATTGGGCCAGCGTGGAGGGTCTGGCCCATCCTCCTTAACCATCCATAAGGAAGGCCTGAGCCCCTGCAGTGGGGACGTAAAAGGGCTGGTGATGATGATGATGATTTATACATTTTAACACTATCGAAACTTAATACAAACATTGTGCACAGTGTAATCAAATAAAGTGATAATCTTTTTAAGTATTTATGTATATATGGTTGTAGAATTAAGAAATTTCATTTGTATATTATTTTTGTTACAATAAAAATAAGTTGAGATAAATTATTTATTGCTTTGACTTAAATACACAGATTTGATTAAGCGAAAGCACCGAAGGCATCTTTTACCAATCCATCGAAATCCTGTACTAAATCGCTTCCAACTTTCATAAATGCTCCAAATATACCTCCGGCACCTGTGTAGATGAAAATAAGTTAGACATAATAACAGTGGTGGACTAAGGAGGAGCGAGGAGGGCGGTTCGCCCCGGGCCTCCGATCCTAGTGGGCCTCCAAATGGCTTAATATAAGGCAAAATGCAAGTAGTTGAGATTCTAATGAGATGCGTTTATTATATACTTAAAAAATTGCAGAATTGAGGCCTAGAATAATATTGAAGCGGTTTTAATAACTGGGAAATAGCCTAGAGCGGCAATAATTAGGGGCGACAAAATCTAGGTCGGGCGAAACCTTTTCTTTAGGAAGAAAAAAATTACAAAAACTATAATACAGCGAACCCCCGGTGATCCGACAAACGTTTTGCAGGGCAGTGTCGGACCATCGAATTTGTCGGATTATAGAGTAATGTCTAAGACCCCCTATAGTTCGGATTTTTTTACAAAGGAGTACCTTGTAATTCGACATATTACAGATAAGTGATAAGAATCTATATGTTATAAGTGCTCTGAAGTACAAATCATACTTCATTATGTATATCGAATTTAGTAGGTAAATTAAACAACATAATATAGAAGTTACTAAAATAATTTTAAATTATGAATTAAAATTGAATTAATCAATTTATGAAGCATGAAAATATTCTTTAATTTTTTTTTATATCATAAATTGTAGATCGCCCTACGAGGTATTCACTTGGCAAACTACTGAAAGATTCATTTCGATTTAAGCGATCTAAAATATCAGATTTTTCTTTAATTGTCAGAGTTTTGTGCTTTCGCTTGTGGGCTTGTGACGACATTACTAGGTACATAAAGGTACGTAATACACAATGAATAAACAGTAGGTAAACAATGAACGCACGCACGCTAGGCCGCGGACTACTATCACCTGTAGTCAAATTCATACTAAGCAATCCGAATCAAAACAAAACCTACGCGTCGAGCGCAATAATGGGGGCGCGCACAAGTTGTGACCTGTTCAATCATGCATTACGTATCTACCTAAAAATATTCGGACATGTCGGATTACAGGGGGCGCCGGATTAGACAGGGGCCGGATTACCGGGGGTCCACTGTATAGAAGTAGCCTAAAATATGATTTTGATTATTTTCTTTTATATGTCTACTTATTCACAAAGGATAAGAGAAAGATAGCAAGGTCATAAAGGACGGCGAATATTATTTTTGGAGTCGCTAACTACCTAAATATCTAATTTTAAAATCTATCACAATCCTTTCAATTTGACATTGGACGATTTTATAACTATTTGACATGACAGCAATTGCGATTGTTAGGGTTTTTTGAAAAAATAAATAAACTAATAGTTCATTTAATGTTACAATAAAATATTACTTTATGCAGTTAAAAAAGAACATAGTATACCAATACTCCGGTTTCTATGTGTCATCTTTGAGGTCCCTAGTTCGGTTCCAGATCGGGGTAATGTACAAATTTAACTATCTATATGGTCTCGGGTCTGGGTGTTGTTTCACGTTACCATAATACAAGCGCTTTAGCTAATTAATTTGGGATATCATACTCTTATCATGTTCACGCTCGCAGGATTTTCTTGGCTACTGGTATCATTCTACGATAATTTGCGCCCAATTATATTTGTTTTGGATTACCGTCTATTTCGCACGGTTTATTATTATAAATATCGAAGTAAACTGAATCAATAAAATAAACTACTGTCTTACCTTTGCTTGCGTCTTTAGCTTTGTCTGCGGCGCCTTTGGCAGCGTCACCGGCTTTATCCGCTGCACCTTTTGCGGCGTCTTTTACCTTGTCTGCTGCGTCTTTTCCCTTATCTGCTGCATCCTTGGCATCTTTTTTCGCTGTATTTGAGATATTCGATATTATAATTTATTTAATTAAATAAATACCAGCTACCCTTTTAATTAGGTCCAACAAAAAGCATGATTGTTCAAGTGGAAGTTCTCATTTGAGTAACAACTAATGTTTTAATTAATACGCTTAAGTATAATGTTAAACAGGAAAACTGTAATTTACTGCAATAGAATTTGAAGGTGAAGGAAGGTTTTTTGAAGGTGAACCTTATTCTTGTGTTAGGAAAAGCTAACTATCTAATTACTAGGCTATTGGTGTAGTATAGTAGCTAAAGTATGTTATTCTCAGGGAAGTAACGTTTTTACCATCACCAGGCCGGGCATTCTGAAAGAAACGAATGGTTACTTTAGTATCTAGTAAATATTTAATGTTGTGCTGTTGGCTGTACATAATATAATTTATCTTTTATAGTTATAAAACGTAAATTATTGTTTTATCTGTCAAGTTCTTATTATTTTTTTATATGTATTTTGGGTCTGGAAAAAGTACATTGCAATAGGTCCTGTTGTTTAGCCGCAAAAGCATAACAGATAATTATTTTCGATTTTTTATAATTAAGAAGTAAGGATGTCGATATCGATTGCTTAATATGTTTTTCTTCGTTTAGCTTCCTGCTTTTGTCGAAAACTAGAATATCGGTAAATAAAGTCAAGCTTGGATGTAACTTACAAATTCAACATGACGTTTGTCATACTATACCTACATTATACTATTTTTAATTTTTATATTTACCTAATTAAATAGGCGATACATTATACTATTTTTAATTTTTATATTTACCTAATTTTGCCTATTTAGATCATACCCATGTTGTTTAGTTAATGATCTAAGTAGGTATATGAGTAGATAATAGAAATTTCTATTGTCTACTCTTTTATAAACGTATTACTAGAAAAATCTAGTACTTACGATCTGTACAGCAATCATAGCTATAAGAAGGAGCAAAATAACTTTATTCATTTTGTTAAATTGTTCCTAGCTACCTTCTAAAGAAATAACAACAGTCACACACTCAAACTAACTATGTGATAGCACAGTTTCTCATTATATACGAATGAGGTTCCCTTTGTAACTAATTAATACCACTTGATTAAATATACGTAAATTTATACAAATGTTTTAATGCGGTAGTGTTGAATTCAATAATGTTTATTGTTATAGGAATTAACAACTAATAAAATATCATAGTTTCTTCTTTAACGGATGGAAGCTTTCGGCTATCTATCTATTATATAAAAAGCTGAATTTTTTATCTATTATATAAAAAAATGATTTATATATCAACGCACAGCCGAAACTGCTGTACCTAGAAACTTGCAATTTGGTAAGTACTGGGCTTCCTCTAGTGAGCACTAGAAAGGATTTTAGAAATTCACCCCTTAACTGGAAATCCAGGCGATTGCTCCGCCCATTAATCACATGTTTTTTTAGCTTTATATTAACCCCCCCCCCCCCCCCCCCCGCCTTCGCGATACAGTTAAGACTACTCTCCCCACCACCCAAATCGTGTATTTTTTAGTACCTACACAAAATCTCAATTTTTGATACCGCTTCTCGGTTTAGTTATCGCGTGGTTGAGGAAATATAAATACACACACCCCACCCGCCTTGTGATTTTTGACGAACGCCCTTCCTCCCCCTTTCGAGCCCCACGTGATTAATGGACGACCCCTAGCTTTTGCCCGCGACTTCGTCCGCGTGGTATAGTTACTTTGAGCAGCTACTAAAACGAATATTTATTCTTTATATCGTGTTAAATACTTGAAATACAGTTTCATGACTTTATCTTTGATAATGACGAATTTCCGTATAAACTTTAATTCCTTATTTCAACTTTTTTATCACAATAAAAAGCAATCTTCAAGTTAACTCTTTTTAGTGGGTTAGGCGCAAGAGCAAACCTTACATTTACACAGAGCTACTTTCGCATGTATAATATTAGTATAGAATAATTAACCGTTTCTTCTTCTCGCTCATTTCATCATATAATACGAGTTTTCCAAGCAGTTACCGAAATAAATAGACTAAGAACCATAGGTACATAATTTCAAAGTGTTAACACGGTTAACCCTTTTTTCTGTGTTCTGTGGATGTCCCTATCGAATACAGTCATTTGCCTAAATTAATCACAACGATAAATCTTGTGATCTTTATTACCTGAATTTATTTTTTAAGAATAGGCTAAGGCGTGTTACATGCCTATACTACCACGAACGAGCTTACGTCGCCAATTCTAATAATTTACACAATAAAATATTATAATTGTGTAATTGCGAATTCAGCATTATGAAACAACGGTCTACGACATGTGACTGCTGAGTCGACGCCTCGTGCTTCGCGCTTCGATGTCACCATCGCAGTTTTAGAATATTCATTCTCGGTACCTACTTCGTCCGAACCTAACATACTTAAGTTTTAGATTTAATAATATACTTTGTAACATTATGTTAATAAACATCATAATTAAATAGTTTTTTTTTTTCGATCCTCCGGCCGCAGCCTTCGTAATTGGCGTGAAAACTTATTATTATAAAAATTTCGTTAAAACTATAAAATAAAACTTGTTATTATTTACATATTTAATCAATGCTTTTTGCTGTTTTTGTTTGTTGAATTATTAAAGTTTAACGAAATTTACAAAATGTCGAATTGATACAAACAATGCTATTTCGAAATGAAAAACAAACCTTGTTTTATAAAATACTCCTATATAAATAAAAAATCCAATTAATTAAAAAAAATATAAACAGATTCATGAGAAATATCGATAAAGCGTAGGTTATAGCTACGACTACGGCTACGTCCATGAGTTGGCGGTCGCGCCCCATGAGCTAGTAATCGGAAAAGTATGTTCAAGTGCTTTAATTTGTCAACAAAATTATTTAATTCAGAAAAGGTTAGTAATTCGTTTTTATTACGACTTTCTTCAAAGAGCTTTCTTATATGACTATCCAGAATCTGCAAGGTATTGTTTTGCGGGGTCTGGATTGGCAAAACAAATAGTTTTTAATATCTAAAGCTTTAATCGCTTTTAAAGAATGATCATTGTTTTAGTAAATTAACTTAAATAAAATTTAGTATCCCTTGACAATGGTGTATCTAAAGCTCAACATTCGGTCAAATTTTTTTATAATATGTTACTTTTGTTGGTAAATATGATTTACTAAATATAAATATGATTATAAATATAATATAATGATGTAATAAATATAAATAAATGTATTTTTAAGATATTCATCCGGCTCGAAGGACTAGTAAATGTGGTGGTAATGTATCAACCACTCTTCAACTTACATAATGGACTGTATGATTGAGTATATTGAGCAGGCTTTTGAAATTATTTATTTTACCTTAATCGAAAAGCTTCAGGAACCAATCGCTTACCTCGAAACTGCCCTGTTTCTTGCTTGGAGCTCGCAATCCTTGGACACGGCGTCAACTATGAGCAGCTACCAGATGATCTAGCATTTGCAGTGGTCTTTTTTCAATTAAAGTTAGCACTACTCCCCCTGGGGTTTAAATATCTAATATTTATTAAATTTGCCGGTAAATGTTATTTTATGAAAAATATTTTCATGAGCGGTATGAGTTCAACGGTTATAACCTTTTTGGTGACGGCATTTTTTGTAATTTGTATGGAGACGACAACGACTGTCGTCTCGTTGTACCAATAAGAGTGCGTTCCATTTCAGTTTTAGTTTTAAGGCAGCGTTCGCTCCCACAGCAAAATCGATCAAGGTAAATATCTAACAGCTACGTATATAAAAATTAACAATTTTCTTTGTCCAAAGATAACAGTCTTACACTTTTATTAATAAACAAAGTTTAGCATTGGAGTAAATTAACGCTGAGACCGCACTTAGTCAAAATTAATATTATTAAACAGAAACTTAGCAAAGGTTAAACCATTACGAGGTTCTACGGGGGTAATATTTAGTCCTTGGAGGTAGTAGGTTTGTTTATTCTGTGTATAATATGAATTTCGTCTAATAATAAAATTGCAATATTAGTATAAATTTACTCTGACGTTAAACCTTGTTTATTAATAGAACTGTAAGACTGTTCTCTTTGGACAAAAATATTTGTTAAGTTTTATATACTTAGCTGTTAGATATTTACTTTATTTATAGCACTGCTAGTGTTTACATTGATTTGTTTTTTTCCACAAAAGTTTATTTAATTAATAACTTTGTTTTATAAGTAACTTTGTTTGCGTAGATTCATAGTTTAGTTATTTGTAAAACTAAAGAAGCCTAACTTGCTTTTTTTGTTTCTATATAAAATTAGTCCAACGGTTAGGCAGTGAAAACACAAGACACATATAGATAATTATGTAGGTACAACACTGTCAGATACTTACAACTCAATACTCAACAATTTATTATTAAGCATATGTGTAAATCAGGTGTTACAAAAATATAAAGTACTTAGTACATTGACCTTGTCAGGCAAGACAATTTTGGAATGACATGTAGGTTTAAATAAATACTATTAATATATACAAAATATTAATTTAATATAATAATAATGTAAAAAATATTAATTCCAATAATTTAATTTGCCCTCAAGGAATTTTCGAAGTGTATAATTGGTTTTTGAGTTCAATTTTTTTCTCTCTCAAATGGATATTTCGTTATATTATATATTTTTATTGACATTAGAAAAGGGCTAGATCTTAATACCTTATTCTAATTTGGATTAAGGTTAATTAATTTAATGTTGTATCTACTAGGGAATCTCTATTTTTATATATAAACCAGGTTATTTAGGTTATTTTCTTACAAATTAGGAAGTTTCTTAAAATTATACCGATCGACATTAGTTAACATAGCAACATACTAAGGACTTCGTGTACATACGTGAATGTTGGTTACACCTTTGTAGAGTATTTATTTCTAAAACCATTTTCACTTTTATTAAAAATATATCGTTCAAATAAACTCTAGTAAACGTGGAAAAAAATATTTTAGTGGTAAAAAATTATTTTATTGTTTCTCAAAATATTCTCCCTTAGCGTCAATGCACTTTTTCATACTATTGAACCAATCTGACATTGTCAATCTACCAAAACACCATATATTTAGTTTGCATCATATAAAGTACAAAGCAAACTTTATTTATTATTAATAGTAAGTTTCAAAAACTCATACGAACAAATTTTATTCTGCGGTTAAAGAGTTGAATTTTTAGGGTTCCGTAGTATACAAGGAACCCTTATAGTTTCGCCATGTCCGTCTGTCCATCTATTAAAACTATTGGTACTAGAAAGTCGTAATGTGGCATGAGTATACACGTTAAATTCGTCGACAATCTTAAGTAAACACGGAAATATGTGAATAGTCCGAAACGTCAATAAAAGATAATAGAAACGCAATAAAACTATTTAAAAGTTGTTTCGTTTAAGGTAAAGTAAAATAACGATAAAAAAAATTATATGTGGGAATGAGATTTTGTCGAATTTATACCTATTTATGTATAGATAATAGCTAATTTCTCTGGATCCTTTTTACAAATTAGTTAGTTTTTTTTTGGTAAAAATTGAGTAGCGGGAAGTGGGAAATAGTGGCTTCTCCGTCTATAAAAACCAAATAACAATATCCAATGGATATATTACATTTTTTTATTTAATTGTAAAAATATTGCCAAGCGAACAATTTTACGAAATGTTATTTATGTTTTCATTGACAATAACGAATCAAATATTTTTCAGTTGCCAATAAATTCTAGAGTAGGTGTATAGTCGTTTTGTTTTAAATCTTCTTAGTATGAATAGATAAAAAACTAAGATCAGCCAGCAAAAAACTAAGTCTGCGATATCGCCATAAAACCGGCATGTTGGATATGTTAAAATATTTAAGATACTATTTTTTCGCGCTAAATTGTCACAACGATCTCTACAGAAATATACCATAACAGCCAAATTACAACTTTCAAGTATCAATAGTATTGAGCTCAGCTGAGGACAGACAGATGGATATGGCGAAACTATACCTAGATAGCATGCTAACTTAGGGCAAGTTTGATTTTTCTTTGATTCTAAAGAAAGATTAAAAAGTTTGATGGTGAGAAGGTGGGTACCTCACGAATTGAGTGAAGTAAACCGGCAAACGCGCTTCGACTGCTGCGTTACATTACTTAACCGGCACAATAATGAAGGGTTTTTTAATCGAATCATTACCTGTGATGAAAAGTAGATTCGCTACGATAACCGGAAATGCTCATCGCAATGGTTGGAAACTGGCATGCCAGCCAAATCCTGCCCCAAGCGAAAATTGACCCCAAACAGTTACTTGTAAGCGTTTGGTGGACTAGTGCCGGTGTCGTTCATTACAGTTTTCTCAAATCTGGCCAGAAATTTACGGCAGACATATATTGTCAGCAATTGCAAACCATGCTGGAAAAAGTAACTGTTAAACAACCGAGGCTGGTCAATCGTTTTACGCCACTGCTACTTCGCCACAACGCTAGACCACACACATATTATATTAAAAAATAATAATATTCGAGTTTTTGTTCGTCCCATACCAAACACCAATTTCATATGCAAGGACCTAATATAACCGAAAATGTGGTCAATGGATGAGTCAATATTTTCTTAATATTTTGAGTAGTCTCAAAAATAAGAATAAAGAAAACACGAGGCTTCAATAATAATATTTATTTAATAAAACAAGATACAATAAACTTCCCATGAATGTCGTCGTTATTTATCGGCACCGGATTAAAAAATTAATTATTCAATTCTTGTTTGAAACATTTGGAATCACCTTGGGAACGTCTCCTGTAAAGAAGTAAAAAGATTTAAGCTGATTATTTTGACTTTTACCAGTAGTTTACGAAAGTTCATTAGAACGTTTAATGATTTAAATAAGAGTCGGTCGGCATTCTCGTGATCTATCGCCCACAAGATAGTCAGAACTAATTAAATTATCAATGACTTGTTCACTTATTGGATGCACACTAATGCTACAGAGATAGACAGAGAAGTCTCGTAAAAGCCGCAACAAAGCAACAAGACTATCCATAACCATGATCACTTCGCTAGGAGTGCATGATTGGGAAGAAGAATTGTTTACTATAATAGGTACTCCCACGGACTTCCATTTATATTTTATTTATTTAAGGACTGCTTACAATAAAATACACTGATAAAAGCTTTACTACAATAAGAAAGTCGCATGCAAATAAGTGTAGCCTCAATTACAAGCTACTACGGCATACACAATTACAAAGAAGGAAATATGTGATTTTTTCATATTATTCCAAAAGCTGTAAAGTAAAACAATTATATTGTATTATATATTTAAAAGCTTATCAGGATTAGATGAATAAGTATTATTAGACTAAAATCATTATCCACTTTTCAATATATTAAATGCAGTCTTATAGGTTACTTACCGATGATATCGCTCACCATCTTTGATTCATCCTTGACCAGAGTTTCACCTAAACCAATAATTGGCTGGATAAGCCCCAGTGGATTTATAGCCGACAGCGCAGAACTTCCCGCTGACTCTATAAAAAGATAAGTATGAGCTTATGTTGTTACCCACACTGTTTTCCTTTTGCGCATTCATCACCAGTCTAAGTCCCCGCTGCTGGGCCAAAGCTGGGCTTTCCCTATGAATAGAATCTAATTCAAAAAGTCGCGTACCGTGTGCGGATGCAGATGTGGCCGGGACAAACAGCTTAACGTGCCTTTTGAAGCACGGAGAAGCTCGAGATAATTCTTTTTATCACCCATTTATGACCTGCCTTTGCGAAAGTTGCTTAACAACCGTAACGCAGACCAAACTCACTAACGTGCGCTAACGAGCTTAAAAAATGTGCTATTAATAACATAAAATATTCCTTCATAGATATTAATACATCGAGCTCCTACTATACAATATAAGTCTCCAAAAAAATATGCTATTAACAACATAAAATAATCCTTCATATATATCAATACCCATAGGTTGAGGTGCATAAATTTTCAGAAGAGGCTTTTATAGTTTCAAAATGGTATATTTAAAAATATATATACATATAAATCGTTAAATCGAATAGGTACTCGTAATTTATGTTTCAATGAATTTTGAAAACAATTTATTTTATATTAATAGAATTTATGTTATTAATTTTAATAGAAGCTACCAATGCTATTTTGGCCTTAAGTAGCATTAGTAGCTTAAACATAGGATCCATCTTAACTAATATTATAAAGAAGTAATATTTCTAACTTTATGTATTTAAAATCTACAATCTACGGAGGAATCTACATCACACGCGGGTGACATAGGTTATAATTTGTTTAAGTTTAATAAATAGATTATAATGTACCCACAAGTTAGGACCCCATATTTTAAGATCAGATCCGAAAATTTGCAATAATTACCATTTTATAAGAAAATTCAGTAACTTAAAGTAAAGAGTCGTTTGTCCATTCTCATTACAATAATTTTACAAGTTTAATTTTGCTTGCAATGTAGAAAAAAAAAAAGCTTATTTTAATAAGAAAGACTTGTCCCTTTATTTCTATCAGTGTTTTTATTAAAAAGGTTAAGCGTTGAAGTAAATTAAAACTGAACTTAGTATTAGTCAAAATTCATATTATTAAACAGAGACTTAGTTAACCTAGTAAGAGGTTCTACGGGAGTAATATTTACTGCTAGAAGGTAGTAGGTTTGCTTATTCTCTGTATAATATGAATTTGGACTAAAAATAAGATTACAATTTAGCGTAAATTTACTCAGACGCTAAACCTTTATTGATAAATTGTTATTTATAAGTTTAATGGCCTAATATATATTTTAGCCTTTGCATACTTTACATAAGATTTTGAGCAAAATATATCAAAGTAAGACTATAAGTGACGCTAAGTTCTAGAAATATAAAGTTTGCGGAATTAAATGGAATGATTTTTTTTTGCTTCTAGATCACCTGACAGTATATCATTACCTGCTGTTTTAAGGACTTTGTCTGCACCTTGCTGTGCTTCAGCTGCAACACCTTTGACAGCCGATGATGGATCTAATTAAGAAAATTTGAAAAATAAATATATTTTGATATGTAGATATAAATTAATTTCACTATCATTTTATTAGAAGGTAAGTGCTTGCAATGAAGAAATGATGCTATAAAAGTATTACTTACCATTTTCTGCTGGCGCTGCATGCTGAAAATCAATTTAGAAATAAGTTTTTAGAAACTTGATTTTTTTTTAATAGAAACAGGTTTCGAATAACATGAATGTTAGGAATCAAATAAACTTATGTCATCCGGGCTCGTCTTAGGGAAAATAATTATTCAAATCAGTCCAGTAGTTTCGGAGTCCGTTCAATTTAAACAAAAGCAATAAAATTTATCCTCTTTATAACAATATAGAAAAAACGTATGAAAATGATAAATAATACTTATCGCAAAAGCGACTTACTCGAGAAAATGCTATTCAAGTCGGGCGGAGTAGGAGGAAAGCATTTCCTTAAATAAGTCGCTTTTGAGATTAGTATTATTTATCACATTTTTAAGTTTGAAGTCGGTTATATTTTTTTAAAGTTTTTATTTAATGCTTTTTAGTAATATTGATGTCTTTTATATAATAGGTAACGTTAAGAATATTAAATAGAAGCTTTCCGCGAGCCGTTTCACCCTCCTAATTCCTAGGGAACTGTTTTTTTGGATATCGATTGATATCATAATTTATAATATAATGTAGTATAGATATAGATCTATATAAATAAAAATACTCAACATAGTGCAAGTCTAAGAAAATAACATTTTGTTTAGGTATTTGCTCAGTTTATTTTTTTTCCGATAATTCTAATCTCATATTAAAAAGAGGAAATTTGTTTATTTGTATTGGAAAGGCTCCGAAACTATTGGACCAATTAATTAAAAACTTTCATCTACGTGAAGCTACATAATACGCGTTTGACATAGGCTATAGTTTACGCAGATGATTACGCAGTGGGGAACCAGCTAGTTTGATAGAAATTGTTTCACAATTCTAGAGGAAATTGATTGACATTCCTACTTTCATCAAAAAATATACATACTCCTTGAATATAGAACATCCTCCTTCAGTTTTAAAATACGAAATTTTTTGATTTTGAGCTGAGATACATGAAAATACATAACATTTAAATATTTAAGTGATACATGGTAAAAACTGTATTTTGTTTTATTATAAAAGGAAAACTACTGACTTGATTTCGATAAAATTTAAATGGGACCATCTCGATCTATTATAATATCGAATAAAAAAAACTGAAAATCAGTCTACAATTGGCGGAAATGTCTATGAAAATAAAAACATACATAAAACCTCGGCCGTCGAACACATAACCTCCTCATTTTGGATTTTGCAGTTGGTTAAATAGGGAAGAATCATAATAATGATTTGTAGTAACGAACAAAATAAAGAAATTTGTGCACTGATTACAAACTTTTCCTGTTTCATTACAAAAACATTAAGGTTTTTAATAAGTTTTATTAAAAACCTTTTTACCTTTCACAAGTAAAAACTGCTTTTATTTATTTATTTCTAAACCAATACTTATTTATTTATTTATTTAACACTTTATTGCACAAAAAAGTAAAAATAAATACATTGCAAGGAACAAAAAAAAAAAATTACATTCGTGCAAAATTCGTGCAATTATTATATGAAATTAAATATATCTGTAAAAGAAACTTACGATTTGCGAGAATAGCGCAAGAGTAACTATGGCCACAAAACACAATTTGTTGTACATTATTGTTTATACTTTTATACCAGAGCAAAGAAATATTACTACACAAGTACACTTACTGACTATCATAGGAAACAGAACGGCTTATATACAAAATCTTCACTATTGTCTTACCTTCAAACAAAAAAATGAAAAATGGTAGTCAATAAGGATATTACTCTATTAGTACTTGAAATGGATATTTGACTGTTATTGAAAATTCGTGACTAATTATGGTCAAAAAGAGAATGCTAATCAGTTGTTTTTACTCGAAGTGTACAAATAGGTTTTTATTTTTCATGGAAAATAACTATAGGCTTAATTAAACTACGAGTCATATAAGAATTCTTGTGTTGGAATTTTAATTTCTTTTTATCGCACACTATTATTTTAAAAAGCAATTATTCTTTTTATTGACAGTATTGAAATTGATCATTATCAGCCTAGTAATGTTCCCACTAATGGAGTTTAGGCCTTCTCTGTGGATGGAATCGAATCAAATCGAATAGGGAGAATGGATCACGCATGATTCATAACCCAGCACGCAGGCCCAGTGCGGATTGACGTGAGTGTTACGACTGCAGATGCAGCCGGGAGCAACAGCTTAACGTGCCTTTCGATACACGGACGAGCTCGAGAAAATAAATTTTTGATCACCCATCCTATGATCGGCTCTTTTTTAACAACCGCATGCCAAGCCGAACGCGCTAACCACAGCGCCTTCGAGCTCCTCGACTTATGAAATATTGAAATTTTCACATACTGATTTTCATGTTCTATATAAATTCATGTCGACACTTTGCCCACCTGGTTTCCAAGATGACTTGATAGTACATTTATTTCTAGCGAGTCGTTTAGTGGGATAAAAGATAGCCTTTATGTTAAATCAGGCTTAGAATTATACCATTTATACAAAATCTGTTCAATAGTATTTTCGTGAAAGGTACATACTTTATTCATTTTAAGTTACAGCTTATTTTGTTTGACCAACTAAATCTCACTTGTACTCTCACGCTGTAACCCTGGCGGGATATGAAATAGGAGTTGACTTGAAAGATAGTGTCGGTGTAAAAATCAACAGAAAATGCTATTCGTTGGTTCTGTCGAGTAGAAAGAATGCAGGATGAAATAATGACAAAACTGATATACTTATAACGCGAAAATGTAATGATACAGAGGCCGAGGAAGGCCAAGACTCACCTTTTACAATAAAATCAATCGCGTGCTCTTAGAAGGTGATGTAGGAAGGCATAAAAACCTGCGAGTATGTATGAAAATGGATGAGGCAAAAGATAAGGAAGTATAAAAGGACCGTACATTGTGGCTATTAACTCCTTGACTCACACCTTTTCAAATTCTTATTAAATAATATTTCCTGCAAAGTATTGTCTGTTTTAGAGGTATATTATAATAAATTAATTTAAAAGTATATAAAATGGTGAATTTGTTTTATAAACTGGTAAACACTTTGAAATTTGAAAATAAAATCTTTTTTCTTTATCGAAATGCCAGCATTCAGGAGCAAAATAATTGAAATACTGATAAACTGTTTGTTAAGTTTATTTCAAATGTCATTTCTTCAGTTGAAGGTTAGATTTAACTGTTATATAAATATTTATATTCTTAAACATATACGACCTGTTTCTGAATTGAGAAAAGTCCAAAATCTCGACTGGTTATGCTCAATAACTTAAGTTTTTACGATTTAAGTTTTTACCAAACTACTATCAACTGATCATTAAAAAAATAAAATCTGTATCGAAAACCTGTTTAAGATGGTTTAAGTACAGTTTGAGACGTGCTTTACTTTAAATTCTTAATTCAGAAACCGGGTGATAATCTTATAATTTGTATGATGAGTTAAGAAGACTAACATCTAGTCGCACAAACGTTCATAAAAACTGTCATTAGCTGAAAGCGACGTTTCCGACACTTTTCAAATTTAGAACATTCATTATAACGTCATCAATAAACCTTAATGGCCATTTATAAAACTATAATAATAATAATAATAATCTAAACTGCGTGTAAGTACTTTATAATTAACTAGCTTTCCGTCAGCGGATTCGTGATTTTATTGTTTTTGCAATATTTTTCATTCATGTTTCACTACCATTTGTCATAGCGTGATGTGATATAGCCCATTAATAAATTAACTATTCAACACAACAATATTTTTTCAATTCGAACGAGTAGTTCTTGAGATCATCGAGTTCAAACAAACAAACGACGAGTTCGTTTGTTTGAACTCGATAATCTCAATATCATCTTCAAACGTTAGCAATAAACGATATGGTGAATAATACATGGCTAAATCATGGCATGATATTCCTGGGCAGATCTCGATCAGACCAATTCAACGATTGGCCCACAACATAAGTACTACAAAAGATGATTTATTGCTAAGATCTAAGATCAAATTACTTACTATTAAATAATTATATTTGTTACATACAAAAACACACGATTATATAAACCACTAAACATTTTATTCTATCCATACCATACATAGTATAATAGTCTTATTTTTCTTAAAACATAGATTATAAATTAAAATCAGATGAATAGGTGCTTGTGAACAGTAAATGTCTTCAATTTTGGACGCTAGTCAAATTAGATGTAAAATTATATAATTGCTCAGAAGTTCTGGTCATAGTCAGCTGAAGATATGCTATGATGTAAACAAATGTCGAGGCTGCTACCCTAAACGCAGTCTCAGTATCGAAATAGTATATTCCGTAGATGGGCATACGGGCCTCTCGAAATTCTAAAGTGTGAAGGATGTTCTTCGTCAGCGATAGAATTTTATCTGTTCAATATAAAAAAGAAATTGGTCTTTATACATATTCCTATTTGAAGGTCGCTAAAGTTCTTACACTTTTACATATTAAGTGCTGATTACAAGCTTTTCGTGATAGTTTTAAAGTTAAAAACACGCAGTGCAACACAATATAGAATTACCATGATTAGGGATATCGCAACAATAAAAAACTGTATGGAGAATCGCAAGTGTTTAGTTATAAAATTGCACAGATTGTCGAATTTCATCATAGATCTCTTCGATATCGATTCAAATTTCTAATTATTGTGATATTCCTCCATATATGGGGGTGATAGAGCGGTCAATTTGAATTAGATTTCCTCGCTGAGTGATTTTAATAGTGTTATCTCATAATAGTGTGCTGGACTACTTTTTGTGAATCAAAAACATTCAACTCTTTTTTTGTGGAAATTTTATATTTTTTACTTTACACACACACACTATTTACTATTATAAAAAAGGATTTTGTCTTGAGTAAAAAGCCCAAACTCTTTGGTCGATTTTCCGCAATTCGGTAACCAGCAATATATTCATAAGTGAGCTGTGAATTTAAACATCCCTTGTGTGCAATAACTACATCCCCAAACAGATTAAAAATATTTACAAACTAAAAAACAATTGCTATAAGTAATATACAAAGTAAAAATCCACCATAACATTTTCGTGTAAAATGTTTCCAAGACAAGAACATATGAGAAGCAGTATCAAAAAGTTTTCAGATTTCTTGTACAGTCAAGCAAGACACTTTAACTCTACCCTAACTTCACAAACTTTACACCATATTGAAACATTTTACATGAAAATGTTTTTCATAGGAAAAACCATACCGGAATCGTTTTCTGTTAGGTGTGCGTAGATACATATAAGTTTAGTCTGATCTATTTCTTTAGAAAACGTGTCTATCAGGACACTTATTGCGATGCAGAATAGCCAACTTAATAATAGCCATCCAACTATGAGGGATTTTCTTAGAAAACTGATAGTCTAAAAACAAAGCATAAATAGACGTATGAAATAAATAAGATGTTGGAAAGAACAGTAAGTCATTATTACCAAAAAACTGCAAGCGCAATGAGGCATATAACTTTTATACATTTTTTAGTTAACTTTTTATCCTTATAAAAATAATGCAGTTTTGTAATTTATAATTACAACATATTTAACGTTATTTATTATACAACATTATACAACACTAGTTGATAGTGTGTTTGGTTGTTCGCTTTTGACTCTTAGAATCAGTTTTGACACACTAAGTATAAAATTTTCTTTTCGTACTAGTATTATTTAAATAAGACATAAAGGTACAGCGAATTTAAAAAGAGGTTCATACCATTTCATCATATGTAATCAATCCTTGAACAGTTAATAAAGATCCAATTGTGATACATACAGTTCCGGTGAAAATCTATAAACAAAATAAATAAATCGGTTAGTGATTCTCTTGGTAACAATCATATAGTCTGATATCGACATAGGAAAATATAAGACTAAGTGATACAAAAAATCTGCCCAGTGCGAGGCAGACTCGTGTGTGTAGGGTGCCGCACCGAAAACGAGAAAAAAAAATCACGTTTGTTGTATGGGAGCAGACTTAAATATTTTATTCTAGTTTCTATTTGTTGCTAAAACAGCAAAAGCAATTAACAGCAATACATCATCTGTGAAAATTTCAACTGTCTAACTTTCACGATTCATAGATACAATATGGTGACAGACAGACAAACAGTCAGCAAAGTTTTAATAATGGGGTCCAGTTTTTCCCTCTAACGGAATGGAACCCTAAAAAGTGTTTAATTCTAGCTAAAGTATGGCCCATGAAACTTGTATGTAACATCAATGTAGTATTTTGAGCGTAAAACATATTTTTAAATTATTAAAAATATTACTTACCCGTAAAAAACGTTACTCAAACAAAAGTAATGTATTTGATCAATTTTGCAATCACAATGCTATTTATCTTTAAAAAAAATCCTATATTACTGTGAGATAAGCAATCTTTTTGTACGCTGTCATAAAAACGGTTGATTCTAATTGCGATTGTTTTTAAAATATTTTAACTTACCGTAAATCTGAAAGACTCCTGAAAATATTGACATTGTTTGAAAATCAGCTTATACGCTTTGATGAAAGTTTTTGTATCTTTCAGTTCCTGTACTTGGTTATCATATTTATTTTTCCAAAACAATTTACTAAATAATGTATC